GTGCCTCCGTAAATGCATCCTTTCTCCCGGTTTCAGCTGAATAGTACCGCAGCAGTTCCGAGGCTATTGGCAGCCCCGTGTATGTGTTATGCATTGACTTCTGTGAAGCGAGTTACCTTATAGGAGCTGCCCTTAGAAATGCTGATCTGCTGCTGAACACTGAGCCCCTCCAGGGTACTTGTAAGTGCTTGCCCTGGAGGTGGGAGACCAAAATGCAATAAATCCTTCTGGAAATTCAGGGCACTGTCAAACGAGAGAGATTCAGCCAATTTAAAAGTATTAACCTGCTTGCCATATGTTTTGTGAGCGTATAAAGTAGTATCATTAGCACTAATAAAACTGCCATGGTTACAACATTTGTGATTATCTACTATATGTGGTATTCATTTATGTACATTATGGAGAGGTGTGGGAGTGTTTACAAAGGATTAACTTATTACCAGCAGTGACATCTACACTGAAAATCGTCTATTATCAGATCCAGGTTTTCAGTTGCTTTTAACTTTTCAATCTTTTCATGTTTTTTTTATGCCTGAAGCTTGATTTTGGGGACAGGAGTGAACAAATGCTTCCATTACCAAGCTCAGCCATTGACAAAGAGATTGAAGGGAAAACATATCTCTTTACCCTAGTATTTTTTTTCCAAACAATTTAATTTATTTAAAAAGTAGTAACTCTGTGTAGTATTCAAGGTTCATATGAGCCAACACATAGGACTGTCTGCTGAAGGGTTGGATGCACCAAATATAAATCCACCAGATGAGCACCTTCCTATAAATGCCTTGACTAAGGAAGCAACCTAAGGAAAATTGTTTCTGATGCATATCCAAAATGTGTTGCAATACATATGTAGAAAGACGGAAGAAAAGTAAGACTAGAAAGGCAACATAAGGACATCTCTATTTCTTAGGCAGCTCTGGTTAGCAATTTTCTAACAAAAAGTTTATTGACTCAGAGCATCTTGTAGAGACCCTTCTGGAAAGTCAAGCTTTGTCAAAGCTGTCATAAAAAAAGTCATCTCAGGTTGAGGCTAATTTTTTCCCTTACTAACCATCTGGAGTTGAAAAGCTCCAGGAATGTATTTGCTAATAACCCACAGTAAGAAAACAAGAGTTTTGCTAAGCAGTGATTTGGTCAGAGACAATCAGGTAAAGGGCCAGGGTGAGCTTTGTCTCCAGTATACCATCGATGTGCAGTAAACAACCATCAACATCACTACAATAATGAATGAGAGGCAGAATCTGAGTGGTTAGGACAAAGCAAAATCCTCCAGTGCTTCAGGTACATGCTGAGCAGGCTGCTGGGTCCCTGAAATACCAGTCTATGACAAACCAAACACTTATCTCTTTCTTATACTCTCCAGCTCCAAGAGGGGGAAATTGAAAAAAATGTGTATTCTCTAAAATATGAGGTCCTTTGTTACCAGTTTCTTGAGTTTTTCAGTGCTTTCTCTTATTACCTTCCTTTCAGTCTTCTGCTTGTCTAATAGTGTTGCAGACTTCAGAACTCTGCTGAAGTATGACCAGCTTAATGACAGTGTTTTCTGTATTAACCTCAATGTCGTGTGTCCTTCTGTTGTCTTCTGACTGCAAGAGGTTAAGTTGTAACCAAACAACTGTGCCTTGGTAGCACCTCCAGCAGGCTCCTTTTGTTTCCTCTGAGCCTACACTGCAGTCAGGAACATCTTCAGAAATCTTTTCTTAGCCCCATTAACTGGTGAGTGATAAAGAGCTATGCTCTGAAATATAATTTGTTACTTTATGAATGCTGAGCTCTTTCAGAAACAGATGGAGGTTAGCTCTCTGGGAAAAAAAACAGCTATTTTGTGATGCTCAATATAATAATTCTTGGAAGAAGCCTCCTTTCATATTTAAAACCTTTTGCTATTTAAACAGTCTGGTACATTTAGAACCACCCAGCCAATGACAAACCACTTCTCTGGAGGTACTGACTGCTTCTCAGGCTACCTGATCCATAAGTACTTGTAGCAGAGTCCTTGGCAAAATTTGTTAATATAATTTTACCTCTTTGCCAGAAAAAAAATGCTAATCTAGTCCTAGGAGTTCTACTTAACTTTTGCTTCAGCTATAATATTGTCAATTTAAAAGGTGGTGTATTTTGGATCTCCTAAGAAATCACCTTGGATGTAGCATGAAATCTGGAAATCCAAAGACTTAAAAGATATCGGTAATATAAAATTCACTTTTTACTCTATTAGATGTTAGCCTTCTGAGCAGCTGACATGAGCAAAAATGCAGCCCAATAATGCTGTGAAAGGTAAAACTGAGTTCAAGTGGTAAGGCTGCATTTTCTACAGTTGGTACCCACTATTGTCTCCATAATACATATAAGTTTGCAATGTTTTCTGATTTTATTTGCCACAGCGTAAACTCCAGAGCAGATCTGTTACAAATATGATTATTTTGGATTTGTCCCAATGTCACCAAACAAAGGATTTATCTTGCTGTCTGTTTTGTCCCTCTAACAACAACAAGGATTATTCTAACGAAATGATGGAATGCAATGTTTCTGATTATGCTAATAATAAAACCAAAAGAAATCCTTCAATCTCGCATGTACATAAGCAGCAGAACAAATTTTCTTGCATGCACGTCAAACAGCAGTTTATTCCCTTTCTCTTCCAGTCGGGTTTAGAAGGTAAGCTGATACAACAAAATGACAGCTGAATCTGTAATGGCTCTGTCTGTTATCCATATCTGCCATGGTGCTCTACTACTGGGGTGATAGGTATATTGTTATGTCCTTTATATTGTTGTTTTTCACCATTTATTCCATATCAAAGACATGCTTAATACTCTCACACAAACAAACCAGGATGTGATTCCACCCAAAATACAAATAATTTGTAACTACATGCTCCAGCTGAGCAAAATGCCTCTTTCGTGTTCACTTTCACCGGTGTTCAAACAGAGCAGCTGCTCTTGCACGAGCAGCAATGAATGGGCTTTAAGCATGCCTGCTCAAATACATTACCTAGCAATAGCTTAGTTTATCCTGGATTGTAACACAGTTTACCACTGCTGGGACATCACACTCCCCATCACACTCACCCATCTCTGCATAAGCAATTACAAACATGTTAGACACGGCTCTGATCACACCTTTTGCTGGAAGGACTAGTTATTCATATACATTTCCTGTGTACAAATGTGATAAAACAAAATTAGATTCAACCCTGCAGTTAAATCTTAATGCATCTTGGTTTTTTGTTTGTGTGGGTTTTGTTTTTGTTTTATTTTATTTTATTTTTTTTCCCTAGGAATGATGCCTCCAGCAAGTGTGTTTCAATAAGTGAAAGGATTAGCATTTTCTAAAAATTCCAGCCTTTTTATCTACTACCTTTTCCTAAATTGCTAATGCTTCTTCAACTATTAAAGCTGCAATGGCTTCTGTAAATCCACTTTCTGATTATATGAGTTAAGCTATGCATTTGGGACCAAAAAAAAAAAAAAAAAAAAAAAAGCTGAGTGAGTTATGTCAAAAATTACCTTTAGTGCTTCAATTGTAGACTATCAAATATACGAGCACATTGTTCAGGATTCTTGCAACATTAAAAAATAGAATTATGAGGCCTTTACAAAGGTAAATGAATTACAATCTTTTCACAGGCAAGATAAGGTTTGTATGTGGGAGTAGCACCTTTTATTAGACCAACCAGTATAGCTGGAAAGAGTAGACAGGAAGGTCTTGTGTGCCAGGAAGATTATCTCCTTTTCCCTACTATATTAGTTTTTCCAGTAAAGACCTGCAAATTTTAGCTTGCCTACATCCTTTGACCAACACCATTATAACCATAGTAACACAAGGCTTTTAAAAAGCATGCTGCAAACTAAAAATAAATAAAATGAAGAAAAAAAAATAAAAAGAACAACAAGCGATCTTCAGCCTGCAATGTTTTTGAGCTTTCTCAGCTTCAGACTCCACTGAGGCTATGGTAGGACTATTTGGAATGATTCTTTGTAAGTGCAGGCCTGTGTGCTGTGATGCTGAGAACAAAGAAGCCACATTTTTTTGAGGTCTTCTGGTTATACTAGAGGATATGACAGGAGACAACCAGACTCTGCAGAACATGATCTCATGATGCTGCCTCTATAACCTTGCCCTGGCTGGCTGGATTTTTCAGGAAAGGATACACTGGCAGACGTTTCTATACCCTTCATGTTTCTGCACAGGATTTAGCAAATATTAATTGTTTGTACATGTTATTATGCCCAGTATTTGACAATAATCTTTTTTCTTTACATGGTGGGAAGATGCATGGTGTCGTTCATTTCTTCTACATCTTCCTTTCACTACATTTCTTCTCTTTTTTCCAGTCTCCATTTCCTTGTTGTAGTCATTTTGAATGTTTTCCCATGCTAGTATATTGGTTAATATGTCTTTAAAAAAATGTCAGGGATTTTTTCTCTTCAGGACCGTCTTCTCATTTATCCTGAATATATTTTGCTTCTTGTCCCAGAAGCACAGAAAGTAAAACAAAATTCAAGTGAGGTGGCATAATTAGGCCACAATTTTATTAATAAAAAAACACCTGGGAACAGATGTTAATAACTTGCACAGGAGAGGGCACGGTTTCTTCCTTAATTGCTTCCACCTGCAGGAAGGCTGGTTCCTCCTTCCCTGTCACTGCCTCCCTCCCCTACATGGATCTCCTCCCTTGCTCCTTTCCACAGCTTCTCCCCAGCATAATCCCAGGGCTCTCCTACTAACCGAGGACTAAAGACCCAGGACAAGGAGAGATCTAAGGCCCGTGTCCTTACAGGGACACAGTCGAGGCTCAGCTTCTCACTGCACTCTCAGCTGATTTGGCTTTATCAAGCAGGGTGTCAGATTCCTCATCAGATAAGTGTCTGAAGTGGCTTTTTGTCACCTGCTGAAATGGGCCGGCCTGAACTTACCCTTTCTAGTGACCCTTTCTGGGAAAGGCAGAAGAAATCATCCCGCTTCAATCAATCCAGTGATGGAAGAAAATTACTCAAGTCCTCAAAATGTGGTAATGACTGCAGCAGGCTAAAAAATTATCTGGATACACATGCCAGTGTAATCTAGGCATGAGGGAGCCTTTGCATCTCTGCTGTTTTCTTACCTCCCTTGCAGTCCTTCCACCAAATTCATGTCTGAATACATTTGAGCCACATCCATAGCCTTTTTTGAAGCCAGGGGAAGTACCTGCCCTCTTGGTGTGGGACAGGAGGGGCACTGGCTGTTTCCAGCTGCCTGTGCTGGGGCTGTGAGCATCCCTTCCACAGGCACCTCGCTGTGCTCACAGTTAGTGACAGGAAGGAGGGAGTGGGCTCAAAACCCAGAAAATTACTTTCTCCTGAAACAAAAAGGTACAGTTTCAGCAGCTGATGTGCTGGATCCTCATCCCTAAAAAAGGAAAAAACAAAACAAGCCCTGTGAAACCCCATGACAACACGAGACTGCTGAAGTTAATGAGAGAGAGAAAGACTGCCTGATTTTGTAAATGTGCCCATTCCTAGGTGGAATTGCACTGTGCCACTGCCTGTGAAAACAAAACTGGAAAGCTTGCAAATGAAGTCGAGAGAGTAGGGGAAGGGAAATGTGTGAGAGGAAGCAGTTTGGCCAAGGTCATGCAGGCAGCCAGTAGCAAAGCAAGAACTAATACCCTCAGCCTCCTAATTCCCAGTCCTTTCCTCCTGTCATCTGAAAACGCTTTATTTCAGACACTTGCTATTTGCTGGTCTCCATGGGTCAAATTGGACCAGAACATTTCAATGAAAAACAATCATTTTTATGTCCCAAGAATCACACGGAACAATCCTGCAGCTGAGGTTTCTTAGGTAATACACAGCTGTTAGATGGAATGAAAGTTTGCTGTAAGTGCTTGCTGCTGAAATGTAAGAGTGAAGGATGACTTTGGAGAGCCTCAGGAGTAGCTCAGGCAATGTGTGTCCTCCCACAGATAGAACAAGGAAATTACATAGTCAGGGACAAGGCAAAAATCATAACTGTTTTTTATTAGGCTCTGTCCTCAATTTGTTAGGATTATTGCCTTCACTCTCCTCAAACCATAAATCTGTTTTTCGCCTTTACTCTGTAATTACAATCTTGTTTGGGGGAAGTAACATAACGGGGGTGAAATAATACCCCCAAGTACTGCCAGTACCCCTGGTTTAAAGGGAAGAGATGCCTTCTTTAAATAACCTTAATAATATATTTTGCTCCTAATAGTATAGTAGAGCAGAGCAATCTAAAACGCATGGTGGTAGTCTTTCAGGAACGAAAACAAGAGATTTAATTGAACATCTATCCTGGAGCATTCATTCATTCCCTGATATCACATTACACATAAAAATGTCAGGATGCTATTTCAACAACAAGATGTTTCACTCAGGCTGTGGGCTTTTCCCCTCACACTGTGTATTCCAAGGTCTGCAAAAGCTGGCATAATCATAAAACTATCACAATGATGAATGGAGGGTGTTAATTGGTATTAGAGAATATTTATGCTGGACTGACTAAGTTAAAAACTTTAATTGGCGAGACACTTGGGCGATGACATCCATGGAGTCCTATTAGCACTGAATTGATGTAGGAGCTTATCCTTGCAGTTGATGGCAATACCTCACAGTGAAGAAAGTTGCAATGTAGACATACTGAGAGTGAAATTCTCACCTTAGATTTGTGCTACCGAGAGGTGCAAACCGTGCTACATTCTGCATGGTTTGAATTGCAGATCTCTATTTAGCTGGACAACACAGACCTGCTGTTACAATTATGTCTACAATTACAACACTCCAGAGTGTGCATTGCATTGTAATGCAGCTATTTACTTTGCTTTATGCTGTACCTTTTTGCTTAAGGCAATAATAGATCAGCACACATTTGAGAGTCTGAGGAAGTTGCTGTGCCTCATTACTTGAGAGCTCTGTTCTGAAGAGAAATGCAAGAGAAACTCAGAGAAATTTAATTTTCTTCCCACTGTCATTCAATGGTAACTTTTGTGCTAATCTTCAGTGGGTTGGAGGTTTTTGTTTGTTTGTTGTTTTTGTTTTGTTTTGTTTTTCCCCAGCAGAACTTGTTATTCCTGCAGTAAATATATTATAAATATATATTATAAATAAATATATAGTGTCCCTTCTATTCATTATCTCCAGAATCTTCATCCAAATTTTGGAGCAGGTAACTCCAATCCACACTTGGGACACTGCTGGTTGGCTTGCAATCTGGGTTTCTGCAGATGTGGTCTACAAATAAAGCCTCACCTATCCTGAAACACCACACAGTCCATTAAGAGCCTGTCTTTTACCTCTGTCTTTCCCTCAGATCTGACCAGCAGCAATAAGCATTTGTGGCCATGGAAGAGCCATGAGTGACAAAATTTCCAATGCATTTCTGCAGCCTTTCCAGGGGAGACTTTTTAAAAGCAGAGACCATACCCTACATTTACTGAAAAGACATAGATAAAAGGCCTCCAAATCCTCTGGTTACCTTAGAAAATTTCACATAAAAGTCCACTTACCCTTCTGCAGCACTGAAGAGCTTTCTTTATAGATGACCTCCGGAGCTGCAAGCCAGCAGACCCTGAAAGGTACAGGGCTTTGAGGACAGACACTCAGTCACCATTTCCTACACCGTTTCTCCTAACACCTCAGCACTTGAAAGCCACAAGTCTGATGTGGACATTGGCTAGAGTTATTTGTCCACCTGTGGCTGCACTGAGTGGTCTTTTGCTGACTACTCGTGTTGGGAGGGAGGCCAGGCTTCCTGGGAATGCTGCACCAACATCCAGCATTGACAGCGATGGCAAAGTCTGCAAAGATCACCAGGCTGCACCAACCGAGGCCGGATGGAAATTTGCTTGGCATGAGCTAGCTCCATTAGCGACACCTTGAATGGGGAAGCAACACATACATTATCCTGCCTTGTCAAATTCCTTCGTAGCGTCACGCCAGCTCTGTCACTACAGGAAAAACGTTTAGCAATATTTTGCTTAAATATAACAAGGAAGTTTTGTTTTAAAGTCTTTTTGTTCACTGTTAATGTCTCATTAACTCTGATCAAAAGCAGTCATATACTTGTTTCCTTAATATTACTTATATTTGACAGAAAGCAGCTGCAGGATACCTCCTCAAGTCTACTGATGCTTATCATCACTGTTAGGACTATTAATTCACTGCAGTATACTTTAATGTACTATAACATTTAGAAATGGCATTTGGATGTGCAGTAATATTATTTTGCACAATTAACCTCTGGTTGCCTTCCATATAAGCCTGTTCTAAAGAAATATCAGTTATGCTGTGTTATTTTCAAATTACATTGGGTTTTGTGCCTTTTTCCTAATAGGTTGCCCTTTCCTTAGAGAGAAGTAACACACATTGAATTGTAATAACACTTTATTGTCCTTGCAACAGAACACTATAAATCACAGAGATAAAAGGAGATGAACCCATTCCCCAGCCTGAGATCAGACAGCTCCTGACCATAGTTCTAGATCCATATGCTAGTTTTCAAAACAACTGAGGTAAAATAAAGGAAACCTTTTTCCTTGAAGATGGAAATAAATAAATAAATAAAAGTAAACAATTCCACCTTAAAATCTGTATCACAGATGAAATTGTTCAGGTCAGGGCCATCTTGAACTAGAACTACATGATTTGTTTTATTCTTTTATTCATCATGAAAATGAGAACAAGAGGGCTCTGTCACAGTGTAGTTCAGAGGAAAATTGTGCAAGATGGCTTGATTGATAAATTTCATCTTGAAGTCTTTTACTCTTTTTCTGAAACTAGTGTTTTTCCAGAGATGTAGAGAATTACAATAGTATGGGATGGTTCTAGAATCATAAAGAAATATTTTCTTGTTGATTTCATGAGAATAGAAATCTGTCACTAGAAAGGCAAGCTCCATAGCAGAGTTGGGGAGGACAGAACTGAAATTTTAAAACATTTCAGATGAGGAATATACCATTTTAACTTATTCAGGATATGATAGCCAATAAATAAATAAATAAATAAATATCATTTATTAATCTCACTAGTGAAATGTAACAACGCTGAGTTTCACATCAGTGTAGCTGATCTCACAGGCTTATCCTTCTGGAGGAGTGAATGGGAAAAAATTTCATGTGAGATCTGTACTTACTGCTTTGCTGCTCTAGTCTGTTAAAATGCACGGAATTCTTATATAGGTAGGAATTTATTTTTTTAACATCAGTTTTAGTATTTTCTTTGAAGAACCAGTACTTCCTCAAGAGGGAAACTCTCTAAGGCTTAACAACAAACAGCTATAATTCTGCTTGGTTTTGCTACAGTCTTTTTAAATGACTAACTTAGCTGACTGTGTTATTATCTCAATTATTATAATGCATTTGAGATCAAAATTTAGGCCAATTTATTTTTTCTGGTGTTTTATGTTAATAAAAGGAATGGATTTGGCTCTGCCAATTATGATTTCTGTTGTTTTATGTGTAACTTCAGCTGAAGACTGTCAGAGCTGTATCTGTGCATCTTTCTGCAGACTTTTGGCCCAAGGGTTTAGAGCTCCTAATATTTACAAAACAGATTACGTACAATTTGCTGACACAAATATACAGCTTTAATACTGCAAGGCTTAAAAATTTTATATTCATGCCTAGATAGAGGATAACAGTGGAAGTGAAATGAGTAAAATTTTCCTTTCATACTGCCGGTTTTGTGATAGGGTGATACAATTCAGCATACTTACTCTCACCTGGGTACCTCATTGCATTGAATTTCATCCAGAGTTATGAAGGTTTTCACCAGAGCGTGCTCTTAATCCCCCTGCTTCTTGCTGGATTTTCTAATCTTGGACTATTATGTTCAATCATATGTGAACACATTTCTATGGCATTTGAGCTGCACAAAATCTTTTGTGTGTGGTTTCAAACAAGCTTTAATGTGCCGCCAAGTTTGTTCAGTTTATTCAGTATTTCCAAATGGGGAAAAATAAGTTCACAAGGCAGAGAGGAATTGTTCCAAGGCCAGAGTTTATATAAAAGGAAGAGGTTCAAAACATCATCAGCCTAGTTCTCCCCTCAGCTATACCTGGGAGAACATTTGGATTTACCTCGCATAACCAAGAGAAGAATCTGGGCTAATGAATTCAACCACGATTAAGAAAGCTATCTAAGGATTAGATTTTATGCAGCACAGATGTGAAATGCTGCACAAAGGCAAGGTTAAAAGAGATGAGTAGGATGGGCAATGCAGGAGGACACAATCCAGCAGGCGGAGATGGCTGCTGGATGGCTGCCAAGGCTCTCGTGCTTAGCTGTAAAACTCAGGGAAGATCAAACACCTTGACCAGTGGGCTGGGACTCATATGGCATCATAAATGCCCATTCCTTGCCCATTCATATGTTTTCAACCCTCAGCATTTGTGAATAACAACAACCATGGGTGAAAAGATTTGAGTCTCCATGTGGGACTTTGCACGGCAGCTCGCTCTGGTCCTGCACACCAGCCACTTGCATGGGGACATGATGGCTTGGTGCACAACAGGGCTCTGGGAGAAGAGGGTTGTTTTTGAGGTTCAGACATGCAGGTGGGGTTCTGGAGATTGGGGAAGTCTGTACCATGGACATGATGGATGGCCTGGAACGGGATACTGAGGGCATTGGCTTCTGATGCTTTGTGCAGGCACCTACTCCAGCACAAAGCAGGTGTTACCTGCTGATGAATTCCACAGGCAGTTTTTCACACTGATGCACATGAAGAGTGAGATGCCATGCAAGACGGCAACAAGGGGAAACCCCAATTCCTTTGGGGCTTCAATGCCTGCTCTAGAAAAAGCATCATAAACCACACAGACAGGGACGTAAGGAGGAAAAACCTCCTAAAAACTGGATAATGTAAATTCCATGAATGTGAATGCCATCCATGCAACATACTTACATTGTTTTTTTTTTTTTTTTTTCTGGGCTCATCAACAGGAAAAAAAAAAAAAAAAAAAAAGACTGTCATCTTTTTTATTTCCTAAAACTCTCTTTGTGTGAGTTTTTTTTTTTCAAGGTTCATTAGAGCTACTTTTCTCTCCTATTTCCCTCTCCCCTGCTATCCCTTTTATCACCCACTTTACCCACCTATCTCTCGCTTTTCACATTGCTCTTCCATTTTCATGCTTCTCCTCTTCCCATGGCTTTGGCTATCACTTCTGAAGAGCCTGGAGTGTGTCCCATGGGGTCGGCATCTGAAGAGTGAGTTCCAGTGCTACAGTAAGGTGACTGATCAGTAGTTTTAGGCTCAACTGAAAAATCAGCAAATAACATAAACGTAGTGAGATTTGTGCTTTGCACCCCTACATGCACGGCTTGGGATTCAAATCCTTAGTGGTAATGCAGCACAGAGGACTGTGCTTGTGCAGGGGGAAAGAGAGAAATTATCTTCAGATGCATTGAGCTACACTGAAAGAATAAACACAGCATTTTTGCAGTGTTTGTTGGAAGGAAAAATAAAAACAAACAAACAAACAAACAAACAAAAACAACAACCAAAACCAAAAGAGATGTGTTAGGTATAGAGAATAAAATCTGTGGACAGCAACCATAGAGCTGAGCTCTGTGGGCTTGTTGGAAAGAGAGGAGGAGGAAAAACAGGACTTGTTCTGATGTAGAAGAGTCTCTCATGCTGCTAATCAATTCCGTGGCCAAATTTGCTATTGTGATCTGATGGTTTAGCTCTGCCAACTCCTGTAATTATCTCTATTCCCATTCTCCATTAGTGGCCTTTTCAAAGAATATGAGTTTTCAGTGTCAGATTATGCCATGCAGTGAATACCACACCATCAGTGTGTTACAAACATAATACAGCATAAATGCTTTACAAATATAGCCTCTCGCGGCAGTCGGAATAACACAATGCTTATGTGTTTCCAGGCCTCGGGGTTACAGCTTCCTAACGGGTGACCTTTCCTCCCCTCACATCCCTTTCCTCATAGATTATGGTGTGGCAGTTCTCTGCTAGCTCGCTAGCTGGGGGGAAATTAGAGCATATGAAACGATAAGAAGGCATTCAGATATCTGCAGCTGACAGGTAGCACAAAAGTGCTGGAATAGCCAGCAGACATTGGCCAGTCGTTCACTCTGCTTATCTTTCCCCCAACCACCATTTCACAAGGCGCCGTTTCAAAGAATGGTTCAACACCAGCCCAGCCTTCAGCACTGGTCTTGGAAACACTGCCACGAAGGAACAATATTTTGAGATGTAAACAAAACTCACAGAAGCCGCATGACACAGCTACTGAAAGACCTGCTGTAGCTGAGAGTGAGCAGGTGGCATTATGATTGAAAGCACAATGAAATATCTGCTTTAACCAAAGGGATATGTTCTTGTTTCCCAGGAACTAAAATATGCCTCAGGGACCTTTTAAGCGCATGCACACACGCCAAGCACTGTATTTAAGAAACACAACATCACAAACAATATTTAGGAAATGAAACATAACATTTCAGAAAATGAGAAACACCACACTAAAAATTCAAAGCAACTTTTTTTGTTGTTGTTGTTAAAAAAAAAAAAAAAAAAGGCAGCACTGAACGACCAGATGATTCCCAAGAGAATTTGATGATTAACTGGCTAAATCAGGACATCTGCAGGATGTAAGAATAATAGAAGGAAGCGGGAGTTTTGGCTACCACTTTTATAATTAGCAATTGTAATGATCTTAGCGGTGTCCTCCTGAAAGAACTTGAATATTCATGTTGAGGCACAGCATTATGTTTCAGCGCTTTTGGTAACTGTAGCCACTTGCGCAGAGTCAAGCACACACTCAAATCAGGAAGTCAAAATGAGTGTTCCAAATACTTTCTGCTGGAAACTGTAAGGAAAGCTGTTATTTGCATGCAGTAAGAGGGGGAAGAGAAGCATGGTGTCCAAGAGTTCCCTTGGCATTTTGAGTTTCCTGAATAGTTGCCTTGCTTCCACATCTTTATTTGATTGCAGATGAAATTCAGACTTGACCCAAGCAAATGCAAAATACAACTGAATCTGTGAAGCTAGACTTCATAATTTCAGCCTAGACTAAAGCCAAAGGCACCCAAAGTAGTAGTTGCTATCTATAAAGAGCCAAGCTTCCATCCTTTCTTCCTGACTGTATGCTAAGGTTTCCTAACTCAACTCAGTCTGAGCCTCTAGGTCAGTGTTATATGAAGTCATATATAATTAGTAGTTTACTGGATAATCTGTCTGTTTCTCAATTTTACCACCTTTATGAACAAGTAGGGTACATGTCTGGCCAATGTTCTTTCTCTGTGTTTGTGCCAGAAAGGAACAAAGATGGATGAGTTGTGTTGCCTCTGCTGAGAAACGTTTAGACAACCATTCCTCTGAGAAGCAGCAGAAAGAGTGGCCCCTGTCTGCCAGCTGATAGATCTGGCACCCTCAGCAGCTTGCATATGGCCAGGCAAATAGAGGTGATGTCAGGAGAAATTATTTCCTTTGCTCTCTTTGATTGCTGGAAGAGAGCTCAAATGGACCTCTATCAACTTGAGGCTACATGCATGTGATTTGACTGCAGACACTAGGCAAAATGTACAATGGCCTGGTTAACTAAAAGACATCACTACACCTGTGATTGGCTTTGGGGCAACTAAACTATTCAATTCTGTTGAAGGCAAGATGGAAGTCATCAGCTTAGCACCAAAACCAGGGATCTGTCTGTATCCCCTGCCCAGAGGGGCAGGCTGACAGCTGTAGTGTGGCACCCACAGAGGAATCGGCTTGGTAGGGTTATGCCTGGAGAGTGTTAGAGGCATCCAACAGGCCAGACAAGGTCAGATCCACACTTCTTATGGATCAGGGATTGGACTGATTTCCTATTGCTCAAGCAATGAAGGAATCCACAGAAGGACTGTTATTATAATCAAAACCCTACTTGGTCAATAAGAATTTGCTCTTATTACTGCCTTCTGTTCCCCTGCTTAATACAAAACTAAGTAGGTGTACAGCTCCTTCTGGGGCTGCATTTAACAGCTTATCTGTGCAGTTCCTCACACACTAACTTCTGTGTGCTTCAGACAGCACTGTGCCCTGTGAAGTGCATTTTGGGTCAGTTTTGAAACACAAAATGTATTTCCAGGGATGCATGTTTCTTCCCCAGGCATCTATCTGCAAGAGTGGAAGTGGCACTGATGGCATTTTTCCCTCCAGAGGCTGGTGTTCTCTTCACTAGCAATCTGAGTAGTGATGGCAGTGACTCCAGCAATGCTCTGTTCTTTGGGTAGCTGTTGCATTAGCTCAACTGCTCCTCTCCACTTCAGTTTTTGGTCTAGGGTTCATTTCCATCACTGTCAATATGCAACTCAAGCTCCATCAGTGTGAAGTTCAAGTGCCTAGAGGTCCCACTCTTACCCTGGGCTGGCCTCCAAATCTGCCAGGTGGTGAGATATTTTTAATGCTAGCACACAACATCTCTTTTCAAAATTTCTCTATCCAGCTCAAGGGAGTGCTTCAATAGCACAAACAAGTATCACTGACGGCCTTTCTCTGTCATTTGTACACCAGCATATTACACTGGGTTCACTCAGAAGAGCATTTAAAATCATTCTGAGATAAGCCAAAAACACTTGAAGTTGGAATGCTTACCATATGTAAAAAAGGTAATATAAATCTGAGAGACTATATTACCCAACAAGTCCAAAAAAATAATGCTTCATTGAAGGACTACACGTCACAAGTTTTTGCAGAGCATTCTGCACGTCAATATCATAAGTATCTTTTTGGGCACTGGTGTGTATCCTCCCCGTATGCACAAAGGCTGGCATGTAGTAAGGGCCCTTGCCAGTAAGGTGGAAGTCTCTGAGCTTCAGTTGCATAATCTTCTGCATCAACGCTATTGAATTTTGGCCACAACATTTACAGACAGTGGCTTAAGTGAGCAACAGTCAATACTGCAACTTTTGAGACCTAGCTTCCAAAATCTACTTTTGTAAGACCAGACGCATCCATGCAGAGGAAATATATGTGAAAGCAGGGCAATGTCAGAGAAAAAGTAGGAAGATCATTTTTCCCATCATATTTAAATCAGAAGTTTATATTTGCTCAAATTTGTAGAATCATATTTTTCACTCTTTGTTTGTTCAAGACTTACCTTTAATTCTACAGTAAACAGAGTTTAATATTTAGGTCCAACTTGTACATTTTGGACTGCATTCATCTACACAGATTTGCAAACAGCAGCAGTTGGACTCCTGAATACTGATGTGCTGATACTGGAAGAGCTAGCTCAGGGACTGCTTTGCCAGTTCCTGTATTAAATGAAAGTCAATGAGTAAACAAATTAGCAAGAAGGAGGTTTGTTTTTCTTTTTTTTTTTTCTTTTTGTTGTTGTTGTTTTTAACTTTATATATTTTTTTTTTTTAGCTGCAATACAATTTGTATGGAGGAGAAAATAACCCAGTATTTGCATGGGTGAAAAAAAGTCTATGAAATATCCTGCTTGCCCTTAGATGGACTACTCAGGGCCTATAAAGCCCAGCTGAGCTGCAATCACAATATTCAGGGAGGCCACTCATCCTCAGACAGCTGTTGGATTGGAGGTCACTGGGAAGGAAAAGGAGGAGCATCCTGTCTGCACATATTTCCCCAGAAGAAAAGCTTTTCTGGCAAAGCCAGGAAAGATGCTTTTCAGTGATAGCTCCAGTGTTTATTGTTTTGTACAATATGGCCAGGGTTTTGGAAGGCAGTATCTGCGTAGAAAGATATTGTCTTATAGAAAAGGGTAATGAATGGATCTGAGCTGATAAATGGCTTTGCCATTGTGTAGGAAGATGAAATAATTCCCAGAATACACTGCCCAATAACATTTTTCTGCATTGCATACTTGCAAGCAGATTGTGTTAAAAAGCCGCAGTGAACTGCAACCAGTCTCTTGGATCACTTCATTAGGGAGTAACGGGGGTGTTCACAATTCTGTGCATGCAAAGGCACAGCAAGCAAAGACTGTTGTTTGAAAGGCCTCTCTCCAAATAATAGGGTACTACATGTTTTCAGTGTAGGATTTTGTTGCTGGTTTGGTTTTTATTGTGATTTGTCTGCTCTCCTCCTAGCTCAGATATTAGAAAACAGGAAGCAAGAGAAGTGACATAAAAGCAGGAGAAGTGACATCAAAGCCAGATTTTTGTTAAGTATGCTGACACTGATTCATGAAGGATTCTGGTATCATACAGCTCATGAGTAGACACAAAGGCAAGGCAGACAAGCACTGGGTCTGAATTTAAATAGAAAGCTACTACTACATTTAAGGTGCGGATAACATAACTAAAGCTAATGAAAATAATGGAATTCTTACACTTATGCACCACATATGACTCTTAAAAGGACATAGGGTGAGCCAAAGGATGCCAAAATTCCCTAATCCATTTAGGGCTCATGTTGAGAAAAAAAAAAAAAAAAAACACATAGGAAAGCTAATCCAGCAGACCCAGGTTTTACCCTCTTTTGATGCTCAAGGCCTATGGGACCTTATCTCCTACAGCAGGATGGATCCTGGCTTGTGCTTGTGCTGCATCCGGCTATACCAGGTGATGGACCACAATCCTCCAATTGTTCCTTTCCTACAACATACAATTTTGTGTTGTTTAGCCTTTTTTCCCCTTTTTAAAATGTGATTAAAACAGGTCTCTAAACCCCTTGCTGTCAGAGGGATACGTTTCCCCTTGCTCTGAACGGTTCCTTGCACACAAAGTATCCTTCACTGTGAGTCATCTTATCTCTTTCCATGCCTGCTGGCATTTTGACCTCCTTCAGCTTCAGCTTTCCTGCTGCCCTCACTATGCTTCCCGTCCTCTCCCCCCGTTTTGGCAGCGTTGCTGACCAGGTGAAACACATGGCCTGCCAGATTGGTTGGAGCAGCCTGGCATCCCTTCCCTCATCTTGCTAGCAGGATGCATCGCTGCTCCCATTGCCTCCTTTTCTCCAGGAGGACTTTTTGGCTTCTGCCTGCCCCGAGGTGACCGAGCACGAGCTCATAATGCTTTGATAAAGGGTATCATAGCCCTGGGAAGGCTCATTTACTGTAGTGGAAATAGCATTAAAGCATCACCTTGGGTAACGGTTGTGGTAATATAGGTCAGTGGGTGAGGCAAGAATACTCGTGGATAATTTAACTCCCTATATGGGCACACTTTGGCCAGGGAGTGAAAGAATACATTACATAAGGAGAGCCCATTGACTCCAAGGTAGTCTTCTGCACGTATAAGCAGAAGATTGACATGCCAGGGTCAAAGCACAATCTTTTGCTCCTTGAATTGGCATGATTTAAGTGAGAGAGAATGCAAAGGGAGAGCACCACTCTGGATTGCCTGACAGTAACTTATCTCACAGCTCAGCTCAGAGAGTATTTCAGGGTAAATACTTTTTAAAATGCATTTGCTTCATTTTACATTTGAAAATTGTTTATAAACATGTTTTTTTGCAAGTCTTTTTGTCATTCAGAATGATTTACAGTTAGTGAAACTCAAGTTTAGGCCCATTCACAGGCAGCTTATTGCAGGTTTTCAAAAAAGAAATTCAGTCTGATCCAATTTTACACAGAGATCACATGGCTTGCTTTCTTTCCTCAATTGGATAATTCTTTGATTCAGGTTTTTGATGTGAATATCAATTATTCACTTGAATTTTAACATTCTAGTACTACTTGATGATATTATAGTAGTATACGCTGCTTTGGCAAATATTTCTGTACAGATATTACTTGTCAGAAAATTTATAGCGTGAAAATTAGAAATGCAGAATTCCTTTCAAAACACAGATGAATATTCATGAAAGCATTACAGTGTTTGCCTCTCTCTGATGTTCAGCGTTGCTCATTCATCTACTGTGGGAAGGATATAAGCTGAGACATGATACTTCAAGAGACCAGTTAAATGAGAAACAGGGGAAATTAAGTTGTAAGTTATAAGATGACTGTAAAACTCCTGGACATTTTGGAGCTGCAAAGCCTTTATCTAAAATAAAAGAAAATTCTACTGGGTTGAATGTAGGCATTATGTAGACAACTAGCTCAGAAAAACAAACAAACAAAATCAAACAAACAAACAAACAAAACATGATATTGAAATCTAAATTACTGTGAGAGCACTGGTCCACCGATACCTTGCAAATGTGAGTATATGTAGAATGCAGAGATTTGCCTGGGTCTCTGCAGGAACTGAAGCCATCATAGCCACGTTTCCCAATATGGTCAAAATTTACCCAACAGGTAATTAACTTGTTGGGTAAATTTTGGGTAACATGTTGGGTAAATAAGAGATTGCAACACTAAAACAAATTCAAGCGAGCTGAATTTTTCATCAACTTTGAGGAAAGTTCTGAGTTGATGACATGGAGAAGTCTACATTAGAGTTTGATACAACAATAGATAGGCCAAATGATTTATAGGAAAAAAATCAGGGAAGAAATGGTGTGTTCAAATCTCTCAGTCGGTTGCTTTAATAAGAAGAGACCAAGTTGACCAACCAGGAGCATACCACTAACAACAAAGCTGCTAAAGAAAATATTGACTTTGTCTTGAATTATTATTTGTTTCTTTGTTTTGTTTTCTTCTAAGGTAAGTTGCATGGGACAGTCTCCTGAATACAATGGGATCAAGTACATCCTGAAGAAATCTCACAGGTTTGCCAAGTCGAGAGTAAATAAGGCTTTACCAGTGGTTGCACTATGGGATTGTTGGCATTTTGAGCCCCGAGTGGTAAAAGTGAAATAGCTGTGCAATTCTATACTTGGTTCAATCTCTTTGAAACCAGTATCTGGAGTAGTGTGTGATCACAGTTCCCCACTTCAATACAGCTGGAGAGAAAAAAAAAAAAAAAAAAAAAAAAAAAAAAGTAATTAGCTGTGATTTCTTTCACATGTGGGGGAGTTGATATGATAGCAACTTCACCTCCACATCCTAAAGAGGGAGCTCGGGCACACAGGTGAAGAACTGCCTCACCCCTTCTAGTCCTGCTGGACATTTCCTGTATCTGCAGGAGAAACCATGGCAAGGACAGAGACACTGGAGAAAAAAAAAAAAAAAAAAAAAAAAAAAAAAAAAGGAAGAAGTGAACAAAAAACCCACAAAGAAAAAAACATCAGGTAGAGAAGGTCGGGTAGAACAGCTTCAGAGAAAAAGCCTGGAGAGCTTTTGGGCTGGCTGCTAGTTCAAAGAGATTCTTTGCTCACGGCTCTGTTCAATTTTTATTTTTTTTAGTTGCTGCTGTTTGATTCCTGATGTAATCAGTGAGAGTAAATCAGAATGCATGACAGATACCTAGTTTCAGTATGAATTTCGTTTCCTCCTAGACAGTACTTCAGCTAACTCTTCAGATCAGCATATGAGTTAACTTCTTTGGAAACTGAGGGAAATGCAACTACTGTCCTGTACAGAAGAGAGCAATAAGAAGCCATTAATCTCTCTCACGTAACCAAGCAGGTGATATGGAAATTTCCAGATGGTGTGTTTGGAACTCATACTGCCCTAAATCTAGGATGTCATTTAGGAAAGTCCCCAGGCCTCTGCTTCACTCAGTGTTTTATCAGCTGGCAGTTTGAAAGCTGCTTTTTCACTGCTCTGAGTTAAATTTGCAGTACACCGGTTGTTCTTCAGGATATTGAACACTTTAAAAATAAAAATAAAGGTCTCTGGGATCCAAAGATGTAATCATTAATTTGAGCCTATAGATTTGGACCCGTGTCTCTTTTCTATCCTTTTTCTAAAAGATTAAAGGATTTGAATCTTAGGTTCTAGCTTGGGCTCATCTCTATTTAAGACAGGGGTGCAGGGAAGGCTGCCCCTTCATCTTGTCTCTTTACACAATAAACACTGGATGAAGTTCATACTGCAAGCGCTGGCAGTAGAATCTCTCTCTCACCAGCAAAAAGAGATTAAAAGTGTCTCCTGGCACATCCCATCAGGGGACTTCTTTTATCCCTTGAATCAACAGAAGCTTTGGATCAACAAAAAGAACTGAAGCAGGTGTCTCTTTTACCTCATGCCAATCTATCCTTCTCTCCATCTTCAGAAAATTGTTCTTTAGCTCTCTCAAGGATACTCAGCACTTGGATAGCCATTTGTTTCTGCTTTATCTTGACAGTACAAACCAGAATAGCAATAGCCCCAGAATGCAAAAGGACTCAAAATCATCTACACTTTTATTATTATTATCATCATCGACATGATATACTGTATTAAAAAATCCACATGCTGTGTCATGTTGTCAGATAGTGGTTGTACTCCTCTTCAAGGTTATGTTTAGTGTCTC